GCAAAACCTCGATATGACATCAAAAACTCAACTGCGAGTGAACTACCCGGCCCAGCAAGCGTGACCAGAAGGACGGAGTCATCATCAGAGGAGGGCTGAATGAGCTCAACTCTGAATTACAGGAAAAAGACACACACACACACACACACACACACACACACACACACACACGGCACTCATTATTAGTGCTGCCAATGCTTTTAACGCCAAAGTGGGTCTGCGGACTGTTTAAATGGGAAACACACTTCCCAAATCTGCAAGAAAAACTCCATGTCCATTTGGATAGTGGCATTGGTAAAAGACAAACACATTTCTTTAAATGAGATTGGGGTTTGTAAGATTAAAAAAAAGAAATATTTGCGTGTTTTGTAGTAGTGGCGGCCAGGAAAACCTAAAGGAAGAGGAGGCCGCTGATGGGAAAAGGAAGAGGACAAGGACTCAAAGTGAAACAATAACAGAGGACAGAGGACAGAGGACAGAGGAGAGCAGAAAGGTGGATGACAGATTATCTGGTCTTAATCTTAACTAACGAAAGGAGTTCTCTCTTTTCCAGTTGACGTAAGGTAACTTTAATACAGTAATAACTTTAGAGATAGTGTGCAGGGAAATGGCTTCTTATGGCTAAAAATATATAAAAAATGCTGTAAGGCAAAGTAATACCATAACATGATAAATCTGCATATCAGTTTAGCTAAAAAATATTTTTGAAAAAATCTAAAATCTATTTCACTCACTCACCGGCAAGAAGACATTCAAACACTAGCTTTACAGTGTGACAGCTGACGCCACCACCACTCAGCTTTACAAACAGTAAGCATGAGACATTTTTTAAATAACAGGAATCAGACGGAGGACATGGAGAGGAAGATGAAGATAAGGGTGTGTACTATAGAGACAGATAAACACACGTATCATTGTCTTGTCTTAACTTTGACTCCTATTGGTTGGAATTGAAATAAAACACTTTCATCCGCCTAAAGAGCGGACACATTTGTTCTTGTTTGTCTAATTCTTGTGGGTGTGGTGGTGAGTGGGACTAAAAGGCTCTTCTAACTCAGGAATATGCTCAACTACTGACAGGTTCGCCATGAAAAGGGAACATGTTAGAGAGAGAACGTATCTAATGCTGTCCAAGCCTTTGTCTCTCTGGACAGACAATACAGGTTACTGTAACAGAGACGAATACAACCAGCAGCTTGCAACTGTTTGATTAACACTGTGCTAAGTGAACATATACAGTGACCACACATGACGTTACAGTATTAGGTTACATTGAGCCGGAAGGTCAGTGGCTGGGAATATTTGATTTTCTATTTTAGAGGACTGTAATCTCATGGTTGCCTATACAAATGTGTTTGCTGATTATCATCTTCCAAACGACAAACACCCCAACAGATGAAATAAATACAGTAAGACTAAAAGAACAGGAGAATATCACATCATTTCCCAATGCTTTCTGGGAGATCCCTTACCTGTGTAAGACAGCCGTGCCCTCAGCCTACATACAAATAATTAGCGCTCTAAAGACAGCAGAAAGTAAAGTTCACATCCCCACACTTACTGAGAGAAATCTAGATGCAAGTTAACGTCTCTCAACATACACTAAGACGTCAAAGCACTTTGTCTCCAACTGCTCCAGTGGCTACTCCGCCAAACTGTGGCTGTGCTGCAAAGCCTCCGGCATCTTTGTAGAAGAAAGAATAAAGGTGGACAAATGAGTGCAGGCCCAGAAAACCCTTCGCAGGACAAACACAAGAGTATGGGGTTAAATCTAAATAAAAGTCAGCAGCCAGTAGCACTACCTCAGTCTATTCTCAATCAGAGGCATCACACCACACGATGCCATTAGCAATGACTACATGTAAATGAACGCACGTATTTAAGCCCAAAGTACAGGATACAATAAGATAAAAGCTTTCCATTAATTTAATCTGATAATAAAGGCCGTGTCACACCGCCCACTGCAACACTTGCCTTCCAGACCCTCACTGCAGGCGCCCTGTTGATTTAGTTCCCCTCTCCTTGGGGAGAAAGTCTGTTGTTGTCTTCCAAAATGCACACGCCCACCCACCAGCACACAGCGCACCCACTTGGAGACAAACTTGTGGTGATGGCTTTTGTTGTTTGATAATTGTTTTTAGACAAACATCATTTTGCTAGCAGAGACAGCTAACCCATAACCATGAATCAACGAGATGGTAATGGAGCTATGGGGGGAAAAGGCACGATGCTGTGGCAACATTGCATGAGGTACTCTCCCTCTGGTTTGTCCCGCTCTCTCTCTCTCTACACTTAAGCTCCCATTGCTTTTACTTTTCATAGTCATTCAGCCAATCCTAAACAAAATAATAAAAACGTCTCAAGGAGAAACAAACAAACCAATAAAAGTGAAATTGAATAAGTTTGCTGTCGGCTCACTTCCATAACCATTACTTCTCCCTCTACCCTTCCCACAGAAAGCCAGTCAGGTAAATAATCACCTCTGCTTTAATTAATAAATGCATCATCCTTAATGAGAGGGGCTTGTTATGCACTGTGGCAACTGCTACCGGTCTGTTTTTTCCTTTTGATTTTTTTTCTCCCAACTCTCAAACTTCAAACTTAATTTCCACCTCTGAAGCATGCTAATTGCTTTACAAACAACAACAAAGTTTTCTCATTTGGAGGCAGAGAACGGTGTAATGTGTGGCTATCGATCGCAAGGGGAAAGGAGATTGCCCCTGGCTGGTCACAAACCAAATGACTTTAAGATTGAAATTAAAGTGTTAATAAAGGTATAACTTTGTATAAACACTCTGTGTGGATACAATGACAAAGGCTCTACATCTGAATCATTCAATGTTGAGTTCAGTATTGTATCACATGGAAGCACTTCGGAGCAGCACAGGATGAATGTAAAATAAATAGGGCTGCAACTTTCGACTGATTTTGTTGCATTGAGTTGCTAGAACCCGAGAATGTTTGAAAAATCTGCTTTACCCGATTTAATTGGTTGATTGATTCAAAGAAAAGTTGCTGACTAATTCTCTGGTTGCCTTCACTGCCAAAGTGGCAGACATTGTTTAATTTAAATGTAATATTTTATTCCAAGTTCAATTTAAGTTGCCTTAAATTTGTTATTAACAACTTAAAGGTACCACAACCCAGGAATTTAGTAGTTGATACCAATTTCATGATTCTCGATACTCTATACCGCTGACATCGCTATGTTATACAGGTCTTTATTTCATTACATCTTTATTACTATAATGCTTTTTTCCTCTGTTTTAATCATGCTGGGTAAACCGACATGCTGGAAGCCCTTTGACTAAAACCACATCACATTAAAGCTGTTGTAGCCTCTTTATTTGGCCCGGCACCTGGCAACATCACTCAACTGTTAAATCTGAGATCCTCCAGTAATGCCTTTAAAGCTGTTCCACAGTCGAGGCTCGACACCGCGGGTGACCAAGCCTCGTCCTTTAGGGCTCTTTATGCCCTGCAATGACATGCCTGAGCAGATCTTACTTTCTATTTAGCATTTCCTGATGAGGTTTGACGGTATCCTGGTTCAGAGGAGAGAAAGCTTCTGACTCTGACTGAGGATCACGGTGCAGTGGTTAAACTGGGATGTGCTGCAATAAACCTGTCCATTTGTCATAGCAGATTAAGTTTAGCTCCATCGGGGAGACTCATTTTGGTTTGCTCGGGGTGGTTTTATTTTCTCCTTAAAGAGCCATTGGAAGCTTAAATGTCAGTGTAACAAGAAGAGGCAAGGTGAGATTCAGGAGGCACCGGGTTTCACAGTAATACAGTTTGTTCTGAAGTAAGACTGAAAGAGACCGTCGTGTGTGTTTTGAAAGGACAAACTTTACCCGATGATACCGTTACTGCGTCCCTGAGAGAGGACCGATTCAACTTTGTTTTTATTAACTGAAAGGTTTCTGAAAGGGAAAAACCATAAAGTTGTTCTTTATCCAAACAAGTAGGCACTACTGTGTATACCTAAAGAGATTTAATATTCACCAACAATAAGCATTAATAAACACTCTACATTTCCATGACGTCAACTCTTGAGTTTCAGAGAGCTCTTCTACCCTTGTTTGAATGTAAAATGACAGATGAACGTTTTGTAGAAGTAAACAGTGTCTGAAAAAGTCAACAGTGGTGCAAATGGTTTGGCAGAGCCTTAACAAACCTGTAATAAGTCGCCTGACATTTGACAGCTTTCGCTATCCACCTGCTCCATTAACATTGTAGAAACATGTAGAGCCTGGACTTAAGGGTTAAAGAAACATACCCTCAAGCATGTTAGCTACATAGCACTAACTGAAAAGCTAAAGCAAAGGAAACAAAGGAAAAGAGAACATTGGCAGCAAGGAAGAAGGAACATATTGTCAGTCTCTGACCGACAGAGAAATGTGCCAAAAATAAATTGTGATACGCAGAAACATATTTGTACGAGTTGAACCTACATTTGCTTAGCAACAGACTGCTAACAAAGTCATTGCTGGCTGACACCTGGTACGAGTGTGGGCGGTGATTTCTCGTTCGCACATTAATAATACACCTGTTATTGCAGACGTTATTTTGAGCTTCTTCCAGCACGACTCATCCAGTCTGAGCTCTGATTAGAGTTCTGTGATTTGAAAACGACTACCTGCAGGATGACAAGAGATTAAAACCTCTAGTTATCTCCTTTGTATGTGTATCACCAGCATCAGCTCGATGCCTACAGGAGACATTCACGTCAGAGCAGCGACTCAGAGCTACAGGGACTTGATCCAGAAACAAACGCAATAAAAGCAGCGATCACTCCGATAAGAAACGGGGAAAAAGAAAACTCACACATGCTCAGTGCACATAAACACTCGATGATGGACAGACTGATGAAAGGTTGAACAAATGGAAGGTCAGATGGATTAAGAGATTATCAGGTTGTTTCCATGACCTGCGTGTCTGTGGACTTGCTTTCTCACGTGTGGAAACTAAGTGTACACGTGTGTGTCTGAGCTCCTCACCCTCGGTGCTTCATTTTCATGTCCTCTGCGTCGTGGGTCCAGTTCTTCATACGGCGGCACTACCACTCCTTCTCTCCTAGCCTGCTGGTATTCTCTTCGTAGCTGCTGGATCCTGTCCGCACTGCCACACACAAGCACAACTGGGTTAATTAAGCTTGTACACCTCTTAAGGTCTTTACACACCGGGGGGGCACAAAAATGTGAAAACCCCGCCCATGAAAATTATAAGTCTGGAGCTTTTATTGTGAAAGGTTTGAACAAAATGAGTGGATCTGGTTTCCGCTGACTTTGTCAAGGTTGGAAGGAGTAATAAAGTTGGATGTCTTGGTTCGGACAATGAAGCCTCCGTTTTGTTGTTTCATAAATATATAATAACTCAGTTGATGACTTTATTTGCACTGCTAAAGTTTAGAAAAAGCAGCGTAATATTCAGAATTACTGAAACATTATATCATAAAAACACTTTTTTTAAAAGCTTAAACTGAAATCGCCAACCAACCAGCTGTCCTGATGATGAGGCAGCCAGTAGAAGGCAGTGATTGTACCCACATCTGCCTGCAGAGGTTTGACTGCAGTGATACAGAGTAGACAGACTCTCCTGTGTGCACGCATACGGGCACCAGACACACACACATACACACACAAGCTCTTGATCATTCTGACTGCCTTCATCTATATCTGTTTTTCCATCTTTTATGCTTTTTTTTCTCTTGCAAAAGGAAAGGAAAACAAAAATATCAATCACATGAATATTCGTTCCCTCTGTCAACGGAGGAAGAACTACAGCGTATCAGCACTGACCCTGGGTCACGTATCCACACACACCTACGCATAATGGAAATATGGAAAGTCACATCATACACATATTCAACATTACAACTGCAGTGGGCAATTTCATGAACCAAGTTGATGGAAGGAGGGGAAATGTATTGATGTACCATCAGGAGATTTATGGAGAGTCAGAGGAATAGCGACACACTTTCCTCCCGTCTCCGAGGCAGTCCGTGAGCATCATTGAGACTTCTGAGTGTTTCCAGTACTCAGCATTTGTTTCTGTTAAACTAGAAATATGCAGTCAAAAATACATTTTCAACAAATGCAAATCTAAACACTGGACTAACTCTTACTCTAGACTAGCATGACTCTTTTTCACACTTTGGGCAGAAAGGCGACATGCTAGTAGACAATAATGCGGCACATTCAAGCTGCTAGCAGATTATGAAGCAGAGAGAAGTGGCTGTTTTCAATTTCATTCTCTAATTTCTATTCTATTTTTTTTTTTACTACAATAATAACTATCACAGAAAAGGCTGCTGAAACAGCCCGCAGCAATTGAAGATAATGAATTCATACAAAATGCAAAAACCTCATCAACAAAACTCATTTACATATAGCTACATCTTTGCCTTCACAATGACAACATTAATTTGAAGTTGAAAATCAACATTTCTTTAAACAGTAAATCTTGCATTTTCAACACGTAAACTCTTTTCAGAAGCACAAGTTTATAATTCTTTTTTTTTTTTTAAGCCATTCTCTTATTTTGCTCTTGACCCTTTGTTCCAATTCCTCTCTTTGAAATCATAAACCCAGAGAGGTGTGTGAACGACTAGAATAGCTGCAGCGCTGAAAACACATAACACCTCGTCTCACATCACAAATCCTGTCTTTTGCATGTGTTCAGAACAGGAAACATGACTTTGGTACCACTTTTATCCACCGACTTTGGTGTCCTACTTTCTGCTAAACTGGTTTAACAGAAAGTGTTTTAAATCTGCAAATCTTTTTTTTTTTTTTTACGTGTTAATGTTGACTTGTGACAGTATTTATGACTGAAGGTATAGTGCGCCACCTGTCCTTCATTCATTCTTCCATTTGAAATTGACTGGAGGAATGAGGGTAATATTATAGGCCGAGAGACGTTATCTTCAGTATCTAGTGTGCGGAGGAATGCATTAGAATAACACACAATCTAGACTCAATCTGTGTGTGGTCACATCTGGGTGTATCTGTGCTCCATATTCTAGCCTATAGGAGTAAGAGAGCTGTGTCAGCAGCAGCAACACACAACACCCACTGTGCACAGAGTAGATTTGGGGCAGAGTGAAATCACATGCTAACACTAAACCACTTGATTCTCCGATCACCTTTGGCGTTAAAGGCTAATTTCACCACCTTTCACGAGGATCAGCGGTGATAGTGAATGTCTTCAGTGTGTGCTATGTTCACCAAGAAAGCTGAGTTAGTTGTCCTTCCTGCATCCAGCTCCATCATTTGACGTGACATAGACGTAGTTGGAGGCACGGAAGAACGACGGGCTATTTCAGCTTGGATCTAGATGCCGCTCAAAAACAGAACTTCCTTGTTCTTCTTCGCTTGTATTGCAAGCTAGCTACGTTTCAAACAGCGGAGGTGGCATCCCAAAATGTGGTGCGGAGGATGCTATGGACGAGGATACGTTTTTACAGTGTTCTGGTTGAAAAGGATATTAAGTTTTGATGTATTTGAGGCGGAGCATAAGGCCAAGGGGGATCGAGATGGAGGCTGCAGCTGCAGGGAGGAGGATCTGGACTGCGGGGAGCCTGCAGAACCTGAGCTGCTGAGAGAAAACACGGACCGGCGGAGCCTTTGCTCAAATTGCCCGCCCATGCCAAAATAAATGGGATCACTCTGCTGCAATGAGTGTCAGCAGTTTTAGTTGCTGTCGCCGACGCCAGCCCGCAGACAGCACAGTGTAAGCGTTACTATGCATTCGAGTTTTAAACTGGACCACCGAGTGAGTATTTTTGTCACCGGACGCCATTGGAAGCTATTTTGTTGCGTTACCTCTTAGCAAAACGCTGAAAGAATTCAAGATGGGCTCTGTGTGTGAAAGATACAACATGTGAAGGAGTGAAGCTGTAATGTGCTGCCATTAACAACGTGGAAATGAAACGCTCATGCTGGTTCGGACTACAGAGCCTCTGAGCTTGCTGCTGTATTTAGACATTTCATCAAGTAAATCCATGTCAACGAAGAAGGCAGAGAAACACCTTAGGCACGCTGGCAGCTCATCACAAGTGTATCACGTAGACGGAAATAAACACTCACATTCATAGGAAATCAATTCATATCCCTCTCCTTCCCTTTCCTCTTGCCCTCACCTTCTGACCCCCCCCCCCTTTCTGATTACATGTTCTCAAGGAAAGAAGTATTCACCCAAATACTGATTTCTCAACAACATGTTTTGCATGAAGAATGAAGTGGAAATCCTCATTACACCGGATGTCTCTCAACACTCCTGTTGTACGTGTTTTTAAGCGTTTTCTGTTCCAAGTGTACGAGTCGTGAGTGGCTTCCCTTTCTCTTATATTAGTGCCACTCCACACTTTGGATGGATTGGAGATGAGGGTGAGGGTTAAAGGTGAGAAACATAAAGACACGAGAGGATTTAAAGAGACATTGGTGAAATGTTCTCTATTCCTGTATTCCTTTGGTTTGCTCTACTCTCTGCTTTTTGGCTGTGCTGTTTCATGTTTATGCATCGCAGTAGGAATGGGGCGACTGTGGGTAAGTGGATAGCAGGGCCGTCCTTCAATCAGAGGATCGGCGGTTCGATCCCCGGCTCAGGCTCCACTAGTAGCATGTCAATGTGTCCTTGAGCAAGACACTTAACCCCAAAATGGCTCCCGTAGCTGTGCCTACGGTGTAGAAATGTGATAGAATCTGAATTGTAAGTCGCTTTGGATAAAAGCGTCTGCTAAATGACTGTAATGTAATGAATGAATTGTGTCACACCTCATACATACTTTTAAGTACACACCCCTCATATTATTGACAGAGGGCCTGGGAGAATAGGGTGATAAAATGTACACAACATTAATTTTCTGTCCATAGACAGCATGCGCACAAATCTCTCTCTCTCTCTCTCTCTCTCACACACACTCACACACACACACACACACACACACACACACACACACACACACACACAGGGCACTTCATAAGATTTATGACCCGGCATAAAAGTAAGAGGGCGGGCTCAAGAATAAATAAATGTGATAAACAAAGACATAACACAACACTCACAAAAACATACACACACATTTATGCAAATAGTTCCATGACCACAGCCGCAGGAAGCTATTGATTGGAGAAACAAGTACGCCATAAAAAAGCAGACTTGTATGACTTCACTTTTTAACTACCTCGTGGTCATTAAGCACCACTAGAGCTGGCTCCTATGGTAATAGCCTAACAGCATTAGTGATGCACTACATTATGACTCAACACCAAAAATATGTTTGCAACTGAAATGCTCTCTTTATACTTAACTACTTAAATCTCTCATCGGGAAGAACTATGGCATTCATTCTGGAATATTTGAGTATTATGTTAAAATAATACGTTGTGTATAAAGCTTGCATATTTCAAAATAAAAGCATAGGCCTGAGCTTCAGTCCACTCCTCCCTCTTTCTCTCACACACACACACACACACACACACACACACACACACACACACACACAGACACAGGAAGATCAATCTCCTGCTCTAGCTCCGCCACACCAATAATAATTCTATAAATGTTTAAAATGAGAATCAGAAACCCGGCAGAGCTGTTAATAATACCGCTATTAATAATTAAGACTTCTGTTCCATTAATAACATGGAGAGATATGCTCTTAAATATATCAATGTCCACAGCAAAGGAATGTGTCCTTGTCATTAAAGCTTGTAAATATTTACTAGCCTGGTTAAGAAAGGTGCACTTTCTTGAAGTAAACGCTTTAAAAGCTGCTTTCTGGTTTGCTTTTAAATCAGTTTTGGGATCTTTGTCACAAGCAATCTAAATGTGAGACTCTACTGCTGAAGCCAGGAGACAAGGTGAGACGTGTGATCATAGGTCATGTTTGTTTAACATTCATTTTAATGACGTGATACGAAATCAGTCAAATCCTGCACAAACTGTGCATAAGTTTAAATGCTTTGAAAGATGCTTTATTTATTTACACTCTAATGCCCACATTAAATGTAAATACTTTGAAAAGGCATTATCAGCGGGTTCACTTTAAGCTTGACTTAATAACCACTTCAATAATGTAAATAAACATGTTGTGGTGGTAAATCCATTACCAACAC